CGCAGGGTAATACTATGAGCCTGCTACCAGTCCATGGAACCTTGTGTATCCATCCTGCCTTGTGGACTCCATCCTGCCAGTGTATGAAAGTTATTCCTGGGATACTTGAAGACATTCCCGGCCAATGCACCACTTTGTGAGAGGGTTCTGCACTTTTATCTTCCTCTCCTCTCTGTACTCGCCTGCCACGACGTACATGTGAAGAAAAGAAAGGGGGATCAGTGTTCTTTAGTGTCTGAGAAAGATAAATGCCACCCAGATGTTAAAGTCTCACAGGGTTAATTTATTTCCAAACTAAATGCGATACAAGTGTAGCAGTCTCATCAATTCTTTCAATTGGGAGAACAACCCATTATTGAGAAGGACTCTCCAGGCTGGGTACACCTTTGCAACTTCGTATCTAAATTATCCTGCTATTTGCCTCATTAACAATGCCTGCTATCCACATTAGGAGGGCTTGTGCTGAGAGCGGCTCCCTGCTGTTTCTTCATAGCTGGTCTCTCCGCTCTCAGGTATTAATTGTCCTCCCAGGGTAGGAAGCTTGAAAGAAGCTTCTCTCAGTCCTTGTCTCTCCCCTGAAGGGTACTGGCTCTCTCTCCCTCTCTGAGCTCCTGCCAGCTGCCTCCCACCGCCCACAGTGCTCCTGCAGTTGTCCAAGCCACCGAGTCTTCCCCAAGGTGTTTCCTTTTCTCCCCCTCGGCTTAAGGCACCTGTCTCCAGGTGTCCTGCAATGCTCCCACACTCACGCATGCAGCGGGGTTTGCAAAGAAGTATTTTCCTTTTTCTGACTTACCTCCTGCCTTTCTTGAAGTCTGTCTCTTCCAGTGTCCTCCAAGATTACAGGTATGATCTCTCCTCCACCTTCTGGAGTCCCCATGGTTTTCTTCTTTGTCTTCTGATGCCCGAAGGCAAAAATCAATGCCCCATTGCCGTCTTTTATCCCCTGGTTTTCGCAGGCTAATCACCCGCACCTTTCCTGGATGTGTAACATCTGCCATGTGACTGAGTTCATTGTCGGGTCAATCCTGCCCGACTCTGTCTAAGTAACAGGGCTCCGGCCTGAGTCCCTGTTACACCACCTTGTTGTAGTTTTGTCCAGCCCACGTTTCTTCAATTTGTTTACAAGAAATTTTTGTAAGATCTTGTCAAAAACCTTGCTGAAGACTAGATATGCTATATCCACAGCATTCTCTTCATCCACCCAAGTGTAGTTACTTTGTCAAACAAGGAGATCAGGTTTGTTTGACATGATTTGTTTTTCATAAATCAGTGCTGGCTGCTTGTGATCAGCCTTTCCTCCTCCAGATGCTTGCAAATAGATTTTCTTACAATATGCAGTGACTTCCCAGGTATTGAGGGGAGGCTAACTGGGTTGTAGTTTCCTGGGTCCTCCTTCTTGCCTTTTTTAAAGAGGGGGAGGGGCACTATACTGGCCCTTTTCCAGGCCTTGGGTACCTGGACTGTCTCTCATAACTTCACAAAGCTCATTGTCAAGGGCTCTGAGATCTCCTCTGCCAGTTCCTTCAGGACCTTGGGATAAAGTTCATCTGGCTCTGCTGACTTGAATTCATACAGACTCAGGAAAGGCTCTCTGATTATCTCTCTTGTCATCTCCCCCAGCTTACCACTTCCTTATCCAGATAATTCTTATTAGGGGACTGGCAGCTTATTTTTTTTGTGAAGACTGAGGCAAACTAGCTGTTGAGCAGATTTATCATCTTTGCATCATCTGGCTTATTAACAGAGAACCCGCAGCTTCCTTGGTCCTTTTTGTTGTCCTTAACCTCCTTTACTAGGTGCAGCATGCTTCCTTGGTGACCTGCCCATTCTTACATTGCCTGTATGCTTTCCTTTTGCATTTGAGGCATTTTAGAAGCTCCTTGGACAGCAACTTTGGTCTCTTGCCATTCTTTTTGTGCTTCCATTGTGACAGGACAGTTTTTTGTTGGGCTTCCAACACTGTGCCTCTTAAAAGCTCCTAGCCCTCCTGGGAGACTTTATTCTTCAATATATCTTCCTGTGGTACCATGCCTGTTTAAAAAAGGCAGAATTCATCTGACTCAAGGACTTAAATATAGTGTCCTAATTTTGCTGACCTCAAGCTTTACCTGCCTCAGGATTTGGAAATTTATCATACCATGATCACTTCCTCCCAAGTTACCCATCACCTTCAAATCCTTCACCATTTCTTGCCTGTTAGTCAGGACAAGGTCCAAGATAGAAGATCCCTTAGTTGTATTCTCCACTTTCTGGAACAGGAAGTTGTCCTCCATGCAAGTTAGGAACCAGCTTGATATTTTGGCTGATTACAGACATTAAAAAAACCAAACAAAATGGTGCTTCATTTTAAATTTGACAAGCTTCCTTTCTTCTTTTTCTTAAAGTCTGCGTAGAGGGGACCCAGGTTGCACTGGGATGGGGCCTGCATGCTGCATGTTTAGAAGGTGTCTTGCTCTCTAGCTTTCAAATCTCGCCTGCCACAACTTGATGCAGTTGAAAAGAGATAGGAGGTAGTGCCCGCGTAGTACCCGCTTAGAGAGAGTATGCCAAGGTTAGCATGGGTCAATGCTACGGTCTTCTGTGGGGCTCCTCCTCTCCTGTACCCCACTGCCTTCTGCTTGGGACTCCAGTTGGTGCTGGGCACATGCATTTAGCTGGCCTGAGCAATTGCCCTGCAGCTCAGGCACAGAAGGAAGCAGCTGAGTTGTCTGAAGTTGGTGCATTTCAGCTGTACTTGCTGAGGTGTGCTGCAGGTTTTGGGATCACCTAGGCTTGGCCTGTGTAAAGAAGCAAATAAACTATCAACTCAAATGATTGTGCCCTAGGCCCTTTTCTGGCCCTACGGGTGCTTTGGTCGCCTTCCATCAGGCCAGTACAGGGGTGGCCCTGTACTGGCTTAGCCCCTACAGATACCTGGCTCCCCCAGCAGCCTGGTGGTCTGGTATCAGTCTGGAGAACTCAAATGTGTGGGGTCTCAGGTTCCTGGTCCATGGGGAAACACGATGCGAGTCTTTATTGGACTGTGCATTCCCCCACTCCTAGCATCAGTGCGGGCTTTCATAGGGGTATCCAGGCTGGTGTGAACCAATCCAGTCCCTTGTGCACCTCCACCTGCCCTGCTGCTGCTGGTAAGTGTTAAGTGCTCTTGAGGGGCTCATCCCCTGCAGCTGTTTCCTTCAGACCCCAAGTGGCACTCTGTGTGCTGGCTGCCTGTTCTTCCTTGGTGCTGTGGTTCTGATCTCTGCCCTGATTTAGGCCCAGGGCTCAGGAAATGCCTGCTGTGTGCTGGCTGCCTGTCTGGCAGCGCCACGGGGCTTGCCCCAAGAACTGAGGCTTGCCATTTTGCTGTGAGTCCAGCTGGGGATCTGCCAAGCATTCCAGCAGCCACCATTCTAGTAAGCACAGGGCTCTGCTGGGCCCCTAGTGCAGTCTGTAAGCAGCCTTTATGTTTGGCTGTATTGTTCTTCCAGCAGATATCCAGAAAATTGAAGTCTCCCATCAGTACCATCCCATGGCTCTTTGATAGATTTGTCTGTTCCTTGAGAAGTGCCTCTTTGACGTCCTCTTCCTGATTTGGTGGCCTATAATAAATCCCCACCATTATATTGTTGCTGCATTTTTTACCCCTCACTTTCACCCAAATGCATTCTGCTTTGCTGTCTTCCTCCTGATCCAGGGAACAATTGTGCATGTGTTTGACATACAAGGCAACACTACCACTTTTTTCCCAATCCTGTCCTTCAGCAACAGTGTAACCCACTGTTGGCATTACAGTCATAAGAGCTGTCTCACGAGGTCCCTGTGATACCAATCAGATCACAGTTCTTTTTACAGGTTGCGTCTTCCAGCTCTTGTTTATTTCCCATATTTTTCGCATTTGTATACATGCATTGGGTGTATCTTACATTTTGACTTACTTGCTTCTGTTTTTGTACCACTTGTTGCAGTCCTGTAGCTCTCTAGCCCTTTCCCAGAGTTAAGTTTCTTCTCTGAGTCCTTTCCCCTCTGTACTACATGCTCAGTCACTTGAGGGTTTTGATGTTCATCCCCTGTGACACCTAGTTAAAAGCCCTTCTTACTGGGTTGGCCAGACAACACCATCTGCTCAACGTAGATATTGTAAATTAGACTTACTTACAATAAATGTACACACTTTCTGTAACTTAAAACAGAGTTTCAAATAGTAGTATACAAATTAAATTACTAGAAATGATGTATTGATATTAGCAGCAAAGCTTTTGAATAAAAATCATGTTAATTCTGTACCCTGAGCATATACCGAAAAGTTTGTATTATTCTGTTTGTAAAAACAATAGTGACTAAGATGTAAGAACCAACAGAGGGAGCTTAATTATCTGACAAGTGCTGTTTTGATAGCAGTGCTAGATATACCTCTTGTGACTTTTTGTTTACTGATGACAGATAAGTGTATTAAGTGCAAGAAATTGAGGGCATTTTTTTAGCTTTTGAAAGCACCTGGCACTGTGCTGCATGCATTAGTATAAATGCCAAAATGCCTGTTAGCACCGAGAAAGTGGTGGTGGCACGCTTTTGAACTAAAACACATCAAAGGTGTTTTAGTTCAAAAGTGCTCCGTCGCCATTTTCTGCATGCTGACATACATTTCCCCATTTATACAAATGTAAGAGATGCAGCGTCACTTTGCATGCGGAGCTGACTCGATTAATTGAGTCTGCTCTGACATGCTGGATCTCTGGTGCGTTGCAGCACGAAAAGGTATGTGTATAAGTGCCCTGAGTTCCTGAAAAAAACAGAAAATTCTTATGAGCTGGAAAAGGAGGTCCCTTATGTTTATTCTTTTTGTAAATTAAGGACTTTGAATGGGGCTGGGAAGGGCAATAACATCAATTTTTAAAATTAACATTTATAATTTTTAAATTAACATTTGATAAAATTAATGTGATATCAGAAAGTGGCTTTCTTATTGATACTACAGATTCATAGCTAAGATTAGAACTTAAATGTGTTTTTCTTTTCAGTCCCAGAGTTCAAGTCACAGATCCACAGCTACTGTCCAGGTCTGCAGAGGCTCCATAAATCTTAAAGGTGCTATCAAATGTAGAGCTTACATTCATAATAACAAACCAAGAGTTAAAGATGCAATCCAGGTATTTAATTAAGTGATTACATTCCTTCCTTTTGAAGCACTTGCTTTTTAGTCTTTCTGAAATATTTTACTGAAATCCTAAAATTTATTGAACTAAGTTTCCCTTTGGTAGATTGATAATGATAGGGTTGGAAGAGACCTCAGAGATCATCTGGTTCAACCCCCAACATTTTCACTCTCTCCCCTGGTCTCCTTTGTAACAGGTAGTGATACTTACCACTATGTTAACATGAACCAGCTAATAACAGGCCCACACTAACATACCAGCATTGATCAGCTAATAACAGGCCCACGCTGAGAGTCTAGAACTTTAAAAATTATTTTGTATATAACATCAGTGTTAAAAGCCTTTAATTTAATGTATTCCAGTATGACACAGAGAGAGAGAGAGAGAGAGAGAGTGTGTGTGTGTGTGTGTGTGTGTGTGTGTGTGTGTGTCAATGGCCTTTTTATTTACAAAATGGAACCCCAGTAATTTTGGTGGAGGGGTATATCTGAGGACAGCATTTGATCTGACACTTCACAATTATGTGAGCAGCCCTGAACACCATATGGATCTGAATTAAATCAGTCTCTCAAAATAATTTTGGAAACAGACAAAGTATTTTTAAAAAGCGTCCCAATTGGTCCAAGATGATACAGGACATCTTTGTACAACTCAGGCTTTCAGGATAGTTGCCCTAATTTTTTTATGTCAATTTAAGCTTATTTTATAAAATACTATAGTATGATGATTTCAGTAATGCTGGTGATTTTATCATAATACTATGCTAGAGGGTTTTTTGGTCAGGCCTTTTTATTATTGGCTTTACATTTTTATATTGTTGTAGAGGTGGACTGTAGGTATAGAACAGACTCACCTATCCCCACATGCTTGTTTTCTGCTAATTATAAATCATTCAGATATGGTTTTTGCATCGCTTATATTCCTGCTTTTGATCCTTGCAGGCTTTGAGACGAGATATAATAAACACGCTCTCAGACCGTTGTGAAATATTGTTTGAAGACCTGCTTATAAATGAAGCACCTGGCAAAAAAAGTAGGACTTTAAAGAGAAAACAAATTACTTTGTAATATAGTGTGCTTTACTAATAGTCAGCAGGAATCAGTCTGAAGTACTGAAATCTGAATGTAGTCAAAGAAGATTAAAAATGCATTTGGCGGCACAGTTGTTTTACAAGTGACTGGTGGGGCAGAAAAGGATGAACTAGTTAAGAAAGATTATTTTTTCAAGTTCAAATATTGTTCTTTAGGACTATTTTTTTTTCTCTCACAGCTGTTATTGACTAGCTTCTGGATACAGTAGAGCTTCAGGTTTTATTCTTTCCTTGGCTCTGCAGACCAAGAATTTAATGACATGTGCTGTAGTCAGAGACTCAGCGTTAAGGTTTTGTTATACGGAAGGATTTTAACACTTAAAAATGAAGTGATAATTTCTGTGATGTTCCTGCTGGACAGTAAAAATTGAAAAATACATAAGAACTTTGCTAGATTGAAAAAGAAATTGGGCACTTACCTGGATAACAAGAATACCCAGAGTTATAACAAATCATGACTAAAAAGTTGTATTAAATCTCTTGCTTCATGGATTCTGCTAACCTGTAACTGTTTAGCAACCTGAATGAAATCACATGTGGCTGATATGGTGTAATATAGTTTGGCAACCTCTTCCTGTTTTCCTAACTAGATCTAGAAACATAGTCACTCTGGTGTCAGTGTCCTCAGTATTATCATTTGTCAGTTTTGTATATTGGTGGGTTTTAAAAATAATGATAAGCCTCTAAAGTCAAGTCATATCAGTTCAGTTTTTTGAATGAATGGCTACAAGTTCTGTATTCAGTTCAGGGCTGGAAATATAAATGTTCCATCAATTCATTTTTTTGTAAAAGTAATTTTTTGCTCTTGATTATAAACCTGAGCTGCCCAACTTTGGTGTAGCCAGGGGCTACAAGCCTCCAAGGTCTGCCACTCTGTACTGCATGGTAAACCCTTCCCCACTTCCCTCCACCCTACTCCTACTACACTGTATCACTGCTGCTGTGCTGCACTCTGTGGGGTCCATAGGTTCTCCTGAGCCTACCACCTATGGACTCTCCAGGCATTTGGTCAGGGAGCAAAAGCTAGAGGAGGAAAAGAAAGCCTTGCAAACATGGTGGCAGCAGCAGCAGGTTGATAATGTGGGGAGTGGATCCTGGGGGCTCCAGGTTAAACTCTGTTGGATATCCCTGTAACAAAGCATGAAAACATACTCTACCACCTCTGGTGATTCATGCTCAGATTACCCTTCAAGATCAATTATTTTGTGGCCACTGTAGGAATTTTAGAATACCATCCTTTTAAAGCAACAAGTAATGTTTCATTGGGTGTTTGAAAAGAGAAACACTGAATGAAGGGAAAACTGTATGCTGTTAATACTGTATTCATCACCAACTTTAGGATACCATTATGCGTGCAAAAAATGGAATAAGTACATGGTAAAAATCTGATATCAAAAGATACTAGATTTACCCAAATAACCTTGTCTGCTTATGTCCTTAGACCAACATGGCTACGACCTATAACCCTGGTAAAAATCGTGATTTATCAGGTGCATGCAGTCTTCCATTTTCTCTTTAGGTGGCACTTGTGCTCTGTGCCTTCTAACTACTGCACAGGAAAACCACATGCTTGCAATCCTTTCTGATGCTGAAACTAATTTTTTATAAAACACTCTTATCTCCAACATACCCATCGTTTCCTTGGGTCTCTCTTTGAAAGAAAAGGGTCTAGTCAACATTCTTGATTTATCATCACTTCTGAAGGTCATTTGTCTCCTTCAGGACCAGTGAAAAGTGTTATATAAACCCTATTTAATTTCAGTTAGTAGGCATATAATTTATTTTATAAATAACAGTGGCCAGAATTTCTAAGACACAGTGAAAAAGAAATTGTCTGAAGTATGTGAAATCAGTTTTTTTTGTTTGTTTGTTTTGTTCCAGGTAAATGTCAGATAGTTCTTACGTAGTAGGGTTTTTGTTTTGTTTTTATCTAGTGAATGTAGATTACAACATGGTTTTCAGAATAGTTAGTAGCTGCCTTAGTTTTTTTTAAATGTCTTTCTTTCTTTTTTAGATCTCAAGAGGGAGTATCATGCCTTGCCTCAGAGAGTGTTTGCCCCCATTGCTGGATCCAGTGTGACACTATGTGATTATAAATTTGGAGATGAGTCAGCTGGGGAAATCCAAGAGCGATTTGTTGAGATGCTGGATCAAGCTGTGCATGCTGAGGATATACATGTAGCAGAGGAAATGAACATGGGTAAATATAGCATCCTGAGTTAAAAACTAAACTATAACAGGGATTGCAGAATAGTTGATCGATAGTACAGACTGATTATACAGGAAAAGCTCTGTTATCTGGCATCCCCTGAGAATGGGGGATGCAGGATAACAAAATATGCTGGTTAATTGAGCAGCCCCAGCCACCACTTCTCCTGCCACGTCTGGGGCGTTCCTCTGCCCCTCCCGCGACATTGCCGTCCCTCCCGCCGCATCACCGCCTGTCCTGCAGGTCCTGCGGGACAGGGAGGTAGACCCTGCGCAGCCTGTTATGCGTCTGGGCCATGGGCGCTCAGCAGCACAGGCTACTTTGTCCTTGGCCGTGGGGGCTCAGAAACCGGAAGTGCCATTGTGGGCACTTCCGGTTTCACTTTATCTTACAAGCCGGCACGCCAGTTAGTAGAGCATGCCGGCTTGTAAGATGCCAAATAGCGCAGCTTTTACTGTACTAATATTCATGTCGTGTAGTTAAAATATACCTGCTGATTTACACTTTAAATATGCTTGTGAGGGGCTTGCACCCCTCTGGCCGCCCGGCCTATCAGGGTGTGGCCCCTCCCCTCAACTCGCCTGCCACAAGTTTGATGCTAAACGTACTTTAAGAGGGGTCTGCAGTGGAGAGCTTTCCCGGGTGGGCCTCCCGATAGATGGCGGTACTTACGATCGTCCAATGTGATGTTCCACGGGGCTCCGCCTCCCCTACACCCCGTCCACTCGCCAACCGGTTGGGGATGCGTTAACGATGTTTCCTGGCCCTGTATGATGGCCGAGGACCGGTCTACCGGGTTTCGGTCACTCTTTCTCCCCTCTTGGTATAATTTTTACTTCAAAGAAAATATTCCTCTGAGTAAGAAGGGACTGCAGGGCTGCCTCCCTTATCCCAGCCCCCTCTCGGGGTCTCAGGTGCCTTCTCTCCCTTACCATAAGCAGGGAGCTCCCCTGCCTCCTTGGTGTAAACCTCTTCCGGTGGCTGTGTGGGTGCTCCTGCTTTGCCTCCTGCAGGAGGCTTAAAGCCTTTCCCTATGCTGCCAGCTTGAGCCAGGCAAGCTGGGTTACCTCCTCCCTGTGCCGGAGCCCGCTTCATGAGCTGCCAGCCTGTGCTCTCTCTCTCCAGCTCTCCCCCCGTCCCAGCTCCGGCGGGGCTTTTAAAGCTTCCTGCAGCGGCTGGTACGACTGCTGGGATTGGCTCAGCTGTTCCCCATGCCAGAAACAACTGATGAAACAGCCAGCATAATGCCGGTTCGCGCGGCTGCAGCTGTGGGCATGGCTCCTGCTCCGGCTGCTCCGCGGGAGGTACGTTAGCTCCTCTGGGGACTTGCTCTCGGGGTATGGGGCCCGTGGGGTCTACTCCCTCCCCCTCGAGAGCCTGTGGGGTTACCTTGCTGCCACAGCTTGTAAGAGAAAAACTAGATGTAAGGAGCAGTGTGTGTAGGGAGGGGAGGGAGGTCTTGTTTTGTTTTCTTTTTTCCCCCTGACATTTAACAGCTTAATGTGTGGTCACTGGTACGCATGTGCACACTCACTCTTCTTTTTTTTTCTTCTTTTAATTTGTCTGTCAATGTGATGTGGGAGACACTTGCTCTCTTTGTCTCTGTCTAATATAACATTTAACATCCTGTTAAGCATTCAAATTGTTAGCCTTTCCATTTTCCCCCTGAAGCCAAGATTAAAAAAAAAAAAAGTCGGTCTCCTCCCATAGTTTACACTGATGTTTTGTAATATGTTGAAAGATCTTAACTGCTTTTGTTTTCTCAGAGCTACTGTTTTATTGCTTCAAACCGGAATATTTTGGATAGAGGAAGTGCGGTGTATTGCTGCAATTCCACCTATATTTATATTGATTTAAATGTACCCTAGAAGACCATTCATTTTACTGAGTCCCATATTTTATTTTGTGGATTTCAAAACCAGCTAGAAATTTCTCGATCCATTCTAAATTGATTGAAATGTCCCTGTTTGAATCAGATTAATTGATAGAGAAATGATCATGAGTGGAGAGAGCCAGAGGTGAATTTGGTTCAAGAGTACTAAATCAGGAATTAATTAAAATACAGAAAGCAAACTATTTTACTAACATCTAATGCATTTTATTGTTCTTAATCATTTTAAAACTAATAAAAAGGTAATCTTTGATAGCTTAGCAAAATACAGCTTGTACTGTGATCATACATCTTGATTGTACTGACAGTATTGTCTTTTTAGACAGGGACACATGATCCCTGTCTCAGTTTACAACATGAGTGGCCAGTCTACAGCTCATATGCCTCAAGTGGCACAGACAGACTCTGCATGGCAAACAGTAGATCAAGGAGGGGACAGACATTGTGGTGGCAGATGGGGTAGGAAACAGAAAGCAGAGCAACAGATTGGGAAGAGGGAGCAGGAAGAAGAAAGTAGAGTGGTTAGATTGGGCAAGGAAAGGGGATATTAGTGGGTTCAGGGCTAATTTGTGGCATGCCTGCCAAAAAGTCCCTCACTGGTTTACAGTTAGATATCATTGTCATAACAGCTTGTCAGAAAAAGTGAAGAAAATGTGTATGATAGTCACAAATTCTGATGCTCTGGTTCCATTGACAGACAAAAATGAATTCCAGGTAGTCTTTTTATTTTATAAACTAGCCAATTGCGCGTCAGGAATGATGAGGGGTAGGCGGGAATGGAGCACTGCCACCCACCACCCTGTGCTGCCGCTGCCTCCTGGGGGGGAGGGGGGGGGAGCTTGCCCTGCGGCCCCTTTGTCCAGCACCCTGTGCTGCTGCTTTCTCCGGGAGGGGGGCTGCGGCGGCGGGGGCATGGCTGGCCTTGCCCCCCTGCTCCATCCCTGCCATCATGGTGGTGCACTGCTGCCACCTCAGCCTCCTTTACGGAATGCTCTTGGAGCACTCTGATTGCTTGTTTCAGTCAGTGTTGTGATTGGCTGCCAAGACAGCCAATCAGAGTGTGAATAAACCGTTATTGACAGACAGACAAAGGCTTTTATCCTATTAGAATAATCTCATGTTTGTAGAATAAGAAAGGTGTGTTTAGAATAAAACAAAATAATACATGAATATATTTCTATAACTATACACTTAGGAAAGCTGAAAACTTCTTAACTAGAGCCTTTTAGAAAAAAATGTTGAAAAGGCTACTGTTTCTGCTAAGACAGAATCAATTCAAGTTTGTTTGGTAGAAGTAATAGTCTCCTAATAAACCTGATATCAGATTGATAAATATTCTATCTGACTTCTCACCTGTATTTTAAGATTATTCAAATTCAGCTTTCTTGTGGGGTTAGTCTTTAAAAATTTATGATGTGTAACATCTTACATTCTTCTGTACTCAGGCCGTCTTAAATATAGTTCTCAGCCTAAAGCAGGAATTGTTCAATGTTAAATGGGAAGACAGAATAATTTAATTATTTATGATGTAGGTGCATATTATGTACTTTCACATAAACTATTCAAAGAGTAATTTTTGCATAATTTTTGTGGCATGAAAAAAGTTTGGGTGACAAGTGAATTATGATTAAAATAAGTCGTTTTTCAAAGCTAACCTATATTAATACAACAGTAATTGATGTAATGAAATAATGCAGAGTTGCAGTTGATTTTTGATATCACTTCTGGTTTGTACACAATACTCATACTGTAGTAGATACAATCCTTGAAATATTATTTTGAATAAAAAGACCCATTATGAAAATCTATTTAAAGCGCCTCACTGTTGCAGTGGCACAATATTTATTATCAAAATCCAAAGGAATAACAACATACTTGTTGTGTTTAAAAATCTCTTTTCAGAAGAGAGTCCAGTTTAATATGGGACAAATTTAAAAATGTTCTTTTATTCAGAAGAGTGGCATTCTTCATAGTTATTGATATACTAGCTCTTCGCATACATGCTTATGAGTGCATTTTTGCCATATCTTGCTTCTGGTTGAAACTCCCTACTAATGACCAATACCCATGTATCCAATTTTAAGATTTTTAAATAAGAATAGTAAGTAAAAGTAGCCAATCAAGTCATTAACAGCTGTAAGACTTGTTCGAAGGTAATGTAGCATGAGCAATTGTTGCGGTAATAATTGGCTTAAATAAATCCCAGTTCCTGGTATCCAGGGGCTAAATATGCTGAGTGGGTAAATGCAAATAAGATTTCAGCAGTTGTAATCTCTTACCCTTCACTTGTTCTTTGTTAGCAAATTAAACACATTTTATACTAGTGCTGCTTTCAAATTTGGGTGTTTGCATTGCATTTGCATTGCATGACTGGAATAGGTCACTAGGTAGGGTCTCTTTTTGGTTATCTGTCATTGCTGTGCTAAAATACATCCTGTGTAAACCTATTGGTCTGTGGGAGTAAAACAAGTAAAGCAATGTTTTTAAAAAAAAGATAATTTGCATGACTTATTTAAATGACTCACTGTTTATGTAAACATCTATGACAAAGCTTATCATACAGTTGACACATCTCAGAAGCCACCAGTCTGAACTCCCCAAATCC